GTATGTATGTATGTATGTATGTATGTATGTATATGTGTATGTGTGTATGTATGCATATGTATATATGTATGTATATGTGTGTGTATGTATGTATGTGTATATGTATAAGTATATGTATATGTATGTAGATGTATGTATGTGTATGTATATGTATGTATGTATATGTATGTATGTGTATGTATGTATGTATGTAGATGTATGTATGTGTATGTATATGTATGTATGTGTATGTGTATATGTATGTGTATGTATGTATATGTATGTGTGTGTGTATGTTTGTGTGTGTGTGTGTGTGTGTATGTATATGTATGTATGTATGTTGTACTGGTAAAAGAAAAATGGACAGAAGTGTTAATTTGTGAGTTTGGGGGGGAAGAAAGGAGAGGGAATGTTAGATATTCTTTTAATCGACTTTCTTTTAGAATATGGTATAAAGATGTAAAGTTGTGGCAGATTCATTGAGATTGGGGGGGGAAGGGGGGAGAGAATGCCAGTAGGTGGTTTGTGTCCTTAAAACCCTAATTAAATGAAAATTGTGGTACAGCGATAGTAAAATGTATAAATTCTGTAATGCCCAACCCAAACTGAATGAAATATATATAGTGATTGTGGAAGAAACGCACGAAATGTACTTGTAACCAACGGATTACGCTTTCTACAAGATGTAGTGAAAGGTGATTTTTTTTTTAATTTGGTGTTTCTCTTTAATCAAAACAATAAAAAATTTTTTTATGGTTTTTACTCTTTAAATGGTAATAAAGGGGGGGAAAATAGCACCCGTGTTGGCCTTCTGGATTACGAGGAACGAACTGACAGCTTTTCTGAAGTAAAATGCTACCATATTACCTCAAAAAAGAAAGTCCCGCCCTTTCCTCCCTCCCGCCCTATCCGTCACTAGCTAAGATAAATAGGAACGTCCTCCCGCCTTCCCGCCCCTCTTCCGCCAAGTCACTGGCTGGACGTGGCTGAGTGACAGCTCGGCCTCAGCCAGCCACGGACTCTTTCCCCCCCTTGCGTCTCGTCACGTGGGCTCTCGGGACTCGCCGTCTTTGGCTACCTCCTGCCACGTGCCCTGGCCGTCTCCGCTCGGCGGATTGGCCCGATCTGAAGTCTCCGCCCCCTTCCGAACGCTGGGGGGCGGAGCGGGGAGAAGGGAGGGGGGGAGAGTCAGGCTGACTCCTTCGCTAACCGGTAGGTCGGCTGAGGTGGGAATGCGGGATGGGGAAGGGAGGGGAGGTGGGTAGCGTGAAGGGAGAGGTTGGGGTTGTGTGGTGCTGTTGTGCGGCGTTGCCGTTGTGGGGTTTTTTTTTTAATGGCGAGCCTCTTGTCAGCGAGGCGAGAGTGGCCGTCGACTGAGCCTTGTTTTGCCTTAAAGTCCAGGGGTCTCCAACCTTGGCCACTTTAAGCCTGGTGGACTTCAACTCCCAGAATTCCACAGCCAGCAAAGCTGGCTGTGGAATTCTGGGAGTTGAAGTCCACCAGGCTTAAAGTGGCCAAGGTTGGCTGGCTGTGGCATTCTGGGAGTTGAAGTCCACCAGGCTTAAAGTGCCCAAGGTTGGCTGGCTGGGGAATTCTGGGAGTTGATGTCCACCAGGCTTAAAGTGGCCAAGGTTGGCTGGCTGGGGAATTCTGGGAGTTGAAGTCCACCAGGCTTAAAGTGGCCAAGGTTGGCTGGCTGGGGAATTCTGGGAGTTGAAGTCCACCAGGCTTAAAGTGGCCAAGGTTGGAGGGCTGGGGAATTCTGGGAGTTGAAGTCCACCAGGCTTAAAGTGGCCAAGGTTGGAGGGCTGGGGAATTCTGGGAGTTGAAGTCCACCAGGCTTAAAGTGGCCAAGGTTGGAGATCTTAGAAGCAG